CCGGATCGAACCCGCATCACCATATTTGGCGAGGGTTTCAATTACGACTCCGTTATCGGGTTCTAGCCGGTTTGCATGCACTAAATGGAATATGATGATCTGACAAAGACATAAATGCCCCGTAATTGCCACGCTCTGCGATGGCCTGTCCTCTGGTTGTTACCCAGTGACCTTGGCTGTTACCCTCTAGTCTTGCACCTAACACACCCTCGTGGAACCTCGCCCTCGACTCGTACCTAAATGGTGCATACCACTTCCCTACGGACAAAGGTGCGGAGCACATTTTGCCATGGTGGAGTGTGAGTTACTCTTCTTTTGCCATTTCTCAAGCTAGGTCTAACCTTCTCATAGGCTTACGGGAACAAGTTTGCACCACTCGGCGCGATTGCGCACGATGTCTTGGTCATTCAGGGTACCAGCACGCCTGTCGAGTGCCTGTTCTTGAGCAGCGGCCTCACTCTCCGCAACAACTGGTCGTGAATGACTGCTGAGACTAGTGGTTGTACCATTGTGACGAAGGAGTGGCTGAAGAAGGGGTTTGGCAACAATGTCGACTACTTGGAGGGGGATTAGCATCTGGGAGAAGGAGAGCAGTGACAAATACAGATAAATACTAATGAATACATTGGAATACGGATATGGATACGATATGATATGGGTACGAATATAATCTGGGTCTGTTGTACCCGTATTCCTGCGGATAAAATATATTACGGCCCGCAGGGCCGTATTTCATATTTGTCTATTCCTATATGAGGGCAGGAAGGAAGCACGCCGGATGCCAAGCTGTGGTGAGCTGTGGGAGCACGAGAGAACAACACATGTCATTTGGGCCGGTTAGAGCCGAAGTCAATCCAGCCTGCCGGTTGACATGTCTCAGCTAGCTCCGAGATGCATCACAAGGCCATAGAACAGGCACAACCGGCCTTTTAATCATCTAGACACCTTTAAGGCTGGCCCATGTTTACTTCACTAGCCATGGATCCACTAACAATGGGATGCCCTATTCAACCACTATCTACTGTTAGTATAGAGTTAACTACAGTCCGTTTACAAGCAACATGCAGTGTCCTATCACAGGAGCAGGTCACAGATACCGATCTGGCGGCTGTTCCACGTGCCCTTCCCTCCTTTATGCCGGACGGCATTGACTCCGAGGCTCTTGCAATAGAGATCTTGAATGCGCACAAAGCCGACAGCAGCAATCCCACCCTCTATCAGCTTTTCTGGACAAAGGACGGTGCATTCAAGGTCCTGGAGCGGGGATGTGCAGGCAAGGTTTCTGGCAATGCTACAAAGCCCACCGGCTCAACAGCACTCGCATGGGGGAGAACTGCTCTCAAAGACAGCAAGATTAAGCGGTGCTATGACCTGGTCAATTGACAGGGCATCTTGATTGCTGCTGGAGTGCTCGCAGAGATATATGATCCAACATATGTCATATTGGAGGCCTGGGTTAATGCGGGTGTTGCGTCGCACTCTTGCTCTTACATCAACTTGGTTCTGCTGCTAATGGAGGACTTTTATGCCTGCCTTCGTTCCAAATGGCTCCAATACTTCACCCTATGCACCGGTGACTGGAAGGCTCAACATCAAATTAAGTACAGGTATAATACCTTTCTAACTGGCCAATCAGCTGACTGTGTGGACCACATCAGGGAAACACCCCCTTACTTAGACGCACTCAGGGCCACTTAGGGCACAAAATCGCTCAGGGAGGCTCAGGGATACTCAACAGACGCTTACGACTCAGGTGCAGCTCAGGCCTGCTCAGGTCCACTCAGGGCATCTAAGTGTACACATGCTATTACCTTGTGAAGATCGTAAATCCCAGAAATATGAAAATTCTAATTCATCCAATCAATCAAGAAGTAGTATATACTGATTAATATGGCTGATACATGGTATGTATAGCTAGTACGATAGGACATACGAGTTTATGTATGGAGACGGGGATGAGAGGCATCGTGATGGAGCATGGGAGAGACTGACCTGAGGACGAGGGCATAGGGAATTGAAGATGGGCGGCCGAAATCAGTAGGACTGTCTGAAGGGTCAGGGTGTACACCGCAAGTCGGCCGTAAGCTGAGCGGTGCATCGGGACCGGAAAGAGCCGTCACCTGCGTGACGCCCGCGAACAGCTGGTTTTCAGGAAACAGGGGACATATCAGCACACTGGCACCAGTTCACCCTGACTGCCAGCTGGAGAACAGAGCTGGCTACGACATGTCAGTGCGGGTGCCTGTCAAAGGGCGGGATATGCGGAAGCTCCAGGATTGCTCAGTACCTTTTTTGTTAAATTTCTGCTCAAATTGGGTATATTTATTTTTTTCTCTTCGTGGTTACTGCGAGCATAAATGCAATATATATCTCATTAAATTGAACGAGTGTGTGTGATTAATTCAGAGTAGCTACTGACGCAGTGCAGTATACCAACATGTAGAGTGCTACAGCGCAGACAGGACTAAACTACGTACTGTTAGGGTTCGGCCCTCAGACATCTTAATGAGCCCCTCGGGGCCGCCGCTAGGCTGGAGTGGACGACGAGCAAGTCTGCGGAAAGAGTACAAATTGACAAGCTAAGTGGTAAGATACATGCGAATCAAAGTACTTAAGAGTCCATCAAAAGAACACTGATCGCATGACATAAGCAGCCAAAACATAAACAAAAGGCGGAAAACAAGAAGTTAAATATAAGAAAAGAAAAGAAAAATGAAAAGATAAGAAAAATGAATATGGGTAGCCGATCTATAACACGTACAATGAGGGGGATCGCCAGCGCAACGATAGTTTGGGAGTCGACTCAACGCCCCTCCTTTATTCGAGCCACGAATCTCAGCCGAGTATGGGATCGCAAGTGCGGGCGAAAGCACCCGACACAGAACAAGGCGGGCGATCACGACGACACGGAGGGACGGACAGAACTTGGCAGGAGGAACTATATACACGCGTGCTGTAGACGGGAAGAGACGGGTGGGGGCTGT